AAAAAAGAAGATAATCCTCTGAAAAGCTCTGTCTGGATATCAAGAAAGACTTCATGAGCCTCCGTAGTTTTGACAGTTGCATATACAGATAGTCCCCATGGAAGGTAACAGTCTGAACAGAGGCTAGGAAAGAAAGGAAAGCAAAGTCAGGGACTTAGCCAAGGCCACCCGGAGTTTCAGACCTTGGAGAAGACGTGAGTTCTTCCACTTTCCCAGCCCAATTGGCTCTCTGATCTGGATTTTTCTTTTTGTTTCAACACACATACATACACACCACACACACCTGCTCCATTTCATTTTAAGGTCAATAAAAGCAGATCTGTGGGAAGCATTTGAAACAGATGTTTTGCAAAATGTGAGCATGATGGAAGAGTTAAAGCAGCCGCATCCCCTAGCGCAGTGATAGCTAACCTTTTTGTCGTCATGTGCTGAAAGCGTGCAAGCACCCCTAATGCAACATGCGTGTGACCCCCATGCATGCATGTGCGCCCCATGTGTGCCCCCATGTGCACCACCATCATGCACATGGGACCCCCTGCACGCACCCCACCTCATGCACAAGTGACCCCCATGCATGTGCACATGACTCCCTGTGTGCATCCACCCTATGCATGCATGCGTGACCTCCGCACATCTCCTGCATGCACCCTGCCCTCCCATGCATGCGCGGCAGAAACCCCCAAACCAGCTGGCTGGTGGGAGGTGCATGCGCATGTGTGGTGGATCTGAGCTGGGGCGACAGCTCGTGTGCCCACAGAGAGGGCTCTGCGTGCCACCTGTGGCACACATGCCATTGGTTTGCCATCATGGCCCTAGAGGGCTTTTTCAGCTGCTTTGAATGTTGTTCCCAGTTTTCTCTCTCTTTGTGTGTGTATATGCTGTATGGACAACACCTCTGCTGTGACCAGCCTGGCTGTAATGCAACACATTCAAAGAAGGACAGTATAGATGATTAGGCTCAAGAACCTAAGAAAGGAAGGAACCTAATAGTCACTGTCATATCAACCATCATTATCAAGATGATTGATACAACAATGAGTATTATGAGAGAGGACCAACATTAGAAAGTGTGCCTCATAAAAGAACAGGTACTCTAGCTTTCCAAATATGAAACAATAGTTTTAGGATACAGAATGATTGATTGCATTTGAATGTTACTAAAAATCAACCATAGTAGGATCAGTTCGACAATGGATCAAATTACCAAGACAAGTACTGGGCTTGGTGCTCTTTATGGTGCCCAGGAGAAGCTAGGGTAAGTGATCTCTTTCAACTGGGCTTCTATTACTTGATAGTCAAATCAGATTTAATGAGTATTAAATGTGCAGTTGGAATAGCCTGAAGGGCTTTAGTGTAAAGTATTCCACTTAGGAGTAGTTCATTATCGTTGATCATACAAGCTCACAAGCAGCAGATGGAGCTACATCTACTTGTTTTGAGCCTGTGTGATAAATTATCTTTGGACTTCAATAAAGCGTCCTGGTATTTTTACTCTTCATTTGCTCTTTTGTTTTTCAGCTCTGGAATCTTGACGGGGACCGGTTTGGCTCTCTGACTACTTTTCTATCTGTCATTTTAATTGCAAGTAATTCTTTCCGGAATCAAATCTCGATGGTAAAGTAGTGGTACTGAAACTCTCAAATCAGGAAAATAACTATGGATTACACAAGCATTGTGGAGAGTCTCCAGGGTAGAAAAAACATCAGTAACATCGTCTAATATTTCCTTTCCATCCATGGTAGGTTTATGGCGGAGAAGAAATTTAATTTATTTTAATTTATTATTTTATTGATCAAATTTATATAGCTGCCCATCTCACTGAAGGTGACCCAGTGACAAATTATCAAGCAACCTATGTGCCAGTGTTATTTTCTTTCTAGGTTCTGAGTTAATGGGCAACTTCAAGGTCCATGCCCTAACCTTTTTTTAAAAAATTCTTTATTGGATAATCCTTGGAACATAAAACTTTCCATCTGTAAACTAGGACAAAGAACCTAATTACCCCTTTTTTTAAAAAGTAGGGGAGGGATAAACATCTAATAGAAAAAACTGTTTAAAAGACCACTCAGCTTGGAAGAAAAATTATTGTGGGCCTAATCGTGAAGCTGGGAGCTGTGGAGATATTCATCTTCATTTTTTCCTAAATGATACCCCATTTCTCTATACTACCTAAGTCAGTGTTGGCGAACCTTTTCGGCACTGAGTGCTGAAACGGGAGCACATGTACACATGCCCGTAATCAGAACAGCAGTCGCCCGGTGAGCATGTGATCTTCCGGTTTCTGGTGTATGCATGTGCACTGGCCAGCTGGTCTTCATACGTACATGCATGGCAGAAACCAGAAGACCAGGTGGGCAGTGTGCACGCATGCGACAGAAACCAGAAGAGCAGTCGCCCGGTGTGTGCATGCGCACCAGGCTGCTGCTATTCCAATTTCCAGGTCTCCTGTGTGTGTGAAGACCAGCTGGCTAGCGCCAGAACCCGGGAGAACAATGATTCGCATGCCTGGAGAGATGGCTCTCCATGCCATTTCCAGCACGTATGCCATGGGCTCACCATCATGGACCAAGGCTGTTCGTGTTGATGGCAGCTATTCTCTTGATATAACAATTGGGGACGGGGTTGTTCACCAATGCTACCACTTTTCTTCTGATACTATTATTTCTTTCGAAGCAATAGCCATAAACCTGGATGATTCAAAAAATCTATTGGAGAAAATTCTGCTCTCTTCTAAAATCGTGACTTCTATTCATCAGTACCTATTTGAAGAAGGGAAGAAAAATTTCCTAAAATGGGCTTTTTAAAAGACTTCGTGCTTTTTTGCAGCTTTAGCTGTTTAAAATAACTACTTCCTCCACCCTTCACCTTTACAAATAATTGAGACCGCATAAGTGATAGTCACTCACAAGCCTTTTGATAATTGTCCAGACAGACAATAAACTTGAATGTCCCTTTATGCCTCCCATTCCTAAATTGATGTAAAAAGTCGCTGGCTTGATAGGTGGGTTTCTGACCACTTTGTCCAAAGGCTTAGAGCTGGAGAAGTGTTTGAGAATAAAGAAACCAAATTGGGTGATGCTTTATTTGCTGCATCACAACTACATTTTTTGGCATGGCAAATCTTGTTACAAAACATGAACTCAAGAATAAACTTCTGTCTGTTTTCTGTAGGTCTGAATTGACCAAGAAAAGTGAGACACAATTCCAGAAATCTCAAAGGTGCTTTTTTTTTCTTTTCAAAAGGCAACTGTATTGTTTTTTCCCTTGAGGAAAAAGAAGTTTTGCTTCTCATCCAAAAAACTTCATTGGTTCTGGCAGGATGGTGGGGACAATGGAAGGATTATTTGGAAAGATGATTTCATATCAAAGAAATATGACAATTGGAAAAAAAATGAATTTGACCCAACCTTCCTGTCAGAACCGATGAAGCTTTTTGGATTTGAAGTGAAACATATTTTTCTTCTTCTTCCTCCATGAAAAAAGAGTCCAGTTGTCTTTTGAAAAAAGAAAAGAAAAAGCTTGTTTGAAAGAACCATGACTTGGAGGACTGAGAATCTCCAGACACTATTCCAGCAAGTAAGAGAGAGCAGAGCACATAAGACAAAGCAGCTGTTAGTGATGTTCTTTCTTTATTGATATACTCAGTTTGTCTCCCTGCATGTCTTTGGAAGCTCACCAACTCAGTTTTACAGTTTTATTAGCTTATAACATAAAATACAAAAATACAAAAGTAAATAATAGGAAACAAAATCAGGGGAAGGGAAGACAGAAGTGTAGAAAAGAAGGGGGGAAAGGTGATATGTGGATGAAAGATTTAAAATTTATGTTGAATTACAATTTAAAAGAAAATTTCTATAAGATGATGTATCGCTGGTATTTTAACACCAGACAAGTTATCCAGAATGTTTAAAGGTATTTCAAATGAATGTTGGAAATGTAAATGTAAAGAAGGGACCTTTTATCATTTGTGGTGGGCATGTGATAAAGCAAAGAAATATTGGACTAGGATTCATACTTTAATACAGAAAAATCTTAAAGTGAATATAAAGATAAAACCAGAAACTTCTTTTGGGCTTAATAGAAAAAGACTTTGGGTGGAGGCAGGGGGGAATCGGAGCTTTGATATTGTATATGTTGATGGCAGCAAGATTACTTTATGCACAAAAATGGAAGCACACTTTGATCCTCACAATGGACAAATGGCTGCAAAAGTTGAGGAGTTAGCAGAGATGGCCAAATTGTCTGCTTTGATCAAAGAAAAGAACATAAGTACTGTCATTTCTACTTGGAAACCACTTCTGGACTTTGCGCTTGAGGTGGGGAAAAAAATGAAACTTTGATTTTGGGTTTTACTGATTAGATAGATTTGTTGTTATAGAAATGGCTAGTTTATACTATTATGTAAAAGTAAAATGTTGAGGTTTGATGTTAATTCCTTAGTCTACTGCACTAGAAGGAGTTGGAAGCTCACCAACTCTTGTATAAAAGAGGCAACCTCGGAAACCAATCAATAGAGGAGAAATCTCCAGAGCTCTGAGTGTTCCCCTGGGAATCAGGTGCCAGTTAGCTCCTGTTCATAACTGGGAGATAGTGATCTTGCTCTGCCTGAAGGACTTTCTCTTTCCTCATTGGGTGCGTAGATGAACAAGGGGGACCTCCCACCAAATTGCTTAAATCAAGAGCCATGCCCAGAATGTACCTTGAGCAATATTATATTTGTGAACCTCCAGTCTTTTAAGTGAGGTGACGCTGCTGGCATTACATTTTGCAGTGTAGTGAATTTGAGGAAAATGTCCACTTTGTAGTGGACCTAGCTAAATGCTGATGAACAGGATTTTTTAAAATCAAGAACAAAGGACTTTTAGCGAAAAGGGTCATCCTGACTGCTGCTGAAAGTTCCTTATTTATTCATCAGAGTCATCAGAGGACACCCCAGTATAACCTGAAATTGTAGTCCTCACTCTGCTGGAATTGAGCACAACCATTCAGTGAAATTCTATTCAATATGCAGTGTCAACATGAAGCTCAATCAAAGAAAATAGAGAAGAATTACCACCATTTCTCTAATTAATTTGACATTCTGTTAATTCAAAAAGGGTACATTCATGAGATTTTTCCTTTATTTATAACTCCCACCTGCGATAGCTAGGAAACAACTAATGCCACCTATAATTTATCACCTAAAATATAGAGTAGGTGATAAATTATACATGATAAATCATACAGTATATTTCTTTGCAAATGGAAAGGTCTTTTTCCATACTACTCCTACCAAAGGTGGGTTGCTACCAGTTCACACCAGTTCAGGCAAACCAGTAGTGGCAACAGTGACTGGGTCGATAAACTGGTCAGATAGCAGGCTGGCCATGCCCCCGAACCCGTTGCTGGCATGGCTTTTTTGTCATTTTATAACATTCTGTGCATGCACAGAACAATTTACATGCAACTGTGCATGCACAAGCAACGCATGCAAAGCAAATTGGCAGTAATGCCAGCAGCAACCCACCCCTGACTCCTACCTACCAAAGTCTCAATACTCCTTTCTTGTGAAAGTTTGAATCCTCTTACATTGGGAACATTATATTATTATGGTTGGATCACAGCCAGATGAGATGCTTAGTCTGGATTTGGCATTTCTATCCACTTATTAAGTTCTCCTCAGGACCCGGGATAGGTACATATGGATGTTTGATGGTGTTAAAAGTATCGTTGCAGGATGTAAACTGTTTTGAGGAGAGCTGCCTTTTTCAATTGACTGATGGTGATTTTGTCAATGCCAATGGTATTAAAATGGTGCTCAAATTGTTTTGAAATTATACCCAAGGTGCCTATTACTATTGATACTACCTTTACTACCTCTGTTTACTTTCTTTTGCCAAAGTGGTTCTATTTCTATTTGCTGGTCTTTGTATTTTGTTATCTTCTTCAGTTCTTTCTCTTTTCTGCTGTCTCCAGATTCTGCCATGTTCACTATCCAGACTTTTTTGCCATTTTATTGACAATTGTTTAGCAAGGTTTTTTGAAAGTGGTTTTCTATTCATTTCTTCTTAGGATGGCAAGAGAATGACTGGCCCTAAGTAACCCAGCTGTCTTTGTCCTTAAGGCAGGACTAACATTCACTTTTCAGATTTTGTCTAGTGCCTTAACTATTATGCCAAACCAGGAATATTGATAAGAGAATGGCAGGTGACGAAGGGAGTATATATAAAAAATAAATAAAAAGTTTGGCGAAAAGAAAGCAGAATGGGTTCTGCTCTGTCTCATAGAATTAATATCAATTAAATGAAACTCAGTGTTACCAGTCAGGACATACAGATGGAAATACTTTAGCAATAGCAATAGCAGTTAGACTTATATACCACTTCATAGGGCTTTTATCCCTCTCTAAGCGGTTTACAGAGTCAGCATATCGCCCCCACA